GAGATTTTTCGTTCCTGTTCAGTGCGTTTGTTTTTAGTACTGCCTCACTTTAATGTTTAGCCACTAGTTCTCAAAGCGTAGTGCGACAAAGTAAATATTTACAAGAGTGGTAGAAATAAAAAGGGAGAATAAATTTTAATACATACAATACAATTTGAGGGGGACATCGACTTACATCATTACTTATTTTGCAATTGCCACCCCTTCGTAGATCGAGGTATCAACTTTGAAATTCTACAGGGCATGTGATACATCGTTTGAAAGCTCTTTGATACTGACTTTGAATCCGTAAAAAAAATTAAACATGAAAAATTCTATAAATATTAGAAAAATAACTTACAAACGAAACTTATACTAAATTTGCGTGTTCTGTATCATTGGTTGGCAATACATAGGTAATGTAGAAAGGATGAAGTGAAATGAAATAAGTTTTCGAATAATACGCCAAAAGTACAGTTATGTATTACTATAAAAATTATATGAAGTAGATCAAACTTTACAGAAGGTCATACTTTTCTGAAACTACCATACACTCTAACCTGAATCATCGAACTTGTTGAGCATCACTCAAACCATATAACAGACGTAGAAAAGTTGTGCAATAAATCTGCTCCGACTATAGTAAATAGACTATTAATACATCATTTTTAAGGAGGTAATAGTATATTACGTAATAAGTGTTGTAAAAAGCATTTTACGCACGAACGGAAAAGTTACGCACGACGCCGCGTAGCGGCGAGTGCGTAATTCTATGAGTGTGTAATTGCATTACACCACGTATTACGTACTATACTTTACCTACGACCACTACTTTAAATACTTAAAAACACACCATCTGCGATCAATGCAAGATTCCTATTACGTCGTACGGTAAAAAAATCGCACAGCTTGGTAAAAAAGTCGTACAGTTTTCCGAGCAACCGCCTAGCGACGGTCAATACAAACAGTATTGTATTGACCGTAGCTAGGTGGTTGCTAGGAAAACTGTGCGATTTTTTTTACCGTACGTAATAGGAATCTTACATTGATCGCAGACGGTGTGTAAGTATTTATATGGTGGTCGTAGGTAAATGGATTTTACCGTAGAAGTGGAAGTTGCTATGGACAACGGGAGGTAAGTGAGGTCCTCCCTAAGGAAAAAAGCGATTTCGAGTTATAAATGCATATTTTATGAGATATATAGAAATATTTGATGAACATTACATTCTATTAATTATTAACAATGAATATTTATAGTAATTGTACAGTTATTGCATTTAGTAACATATATAAAATCTGGATAATTATTCCTCTCGCGTTTATTAATTGTCACAATTTTCTCAAAATGATTTGACCGCTCCATTTTAGTCACCAGAGGCTCAATATTTCTGGCTGATCCATTAAAACAGCATGATGCGACGTACTACTACAACCTGGAGTTGAAGTGTCATGTCAAGAATCCTGTTAGTTATTTAATTTTTGTTACTTAAACAGCCAGTAACGTTGCCGATGTTCTTCGGAATGAATGGCCTGTATATGTTTCAGGATGTTCTAGTTTCAAAAACTGGGCAATCTTATTAGGAATCATAGAAACGGTATTCTTGCCGACTGGTTAGTTGTAACATTTACCTGCTTGATAGCGCATAAAAAAGCGTGAAATTTCAGTTTTAATTTCCAATCTAATCTTGATATATTTCTTAAGAATTTCTAGCTGAGAGACGTTGTCCAAAGTAAGTTTGCATAACTCATCAGAACGGCATGCTCCTGCAATGCCTAAGACCGTCACTACCTTCATTAGCAAATATGTGTTATCTGGTGCCTGAACGAGAAAATCGTTGACTTGTTCTCTTGTAAAAACTTTTGACTTTTTAGGTGTATAGCCATCATTCTTACGTTGCATAAATGCTCTTAGATTGGGGTACTTTGATATATCCACGTTCTCCTCTGTGAGAATAGTTGACTTAGTTATTGAGTATTCACTCCACAAACTCACCGATGACTTTAAAGTTCTTGACTTCTCCATGAAATATGCTAGCAGTGACATTTCAGAAACACTAGTATTTTTATTCTGGCACCATTCTTTGAAATTTCTATATGCTCATCCGTAGCGCACTTTCGACTTCTCGGGCAATAAAAATTCGCAGGCAGCATTTGCTGCACTTTCTATTTAAAAATCACTCATTTAGAAATAATAATTCAAAACCAGCAAAATTGCAACTTTTATGTAGCTTTTGTTTATAAACACCTTAGAAACGAGAAAATCCAAACAACCAAGATTTCGAATAACGACTAAATGGATTGATTAGAAATGTCAAAAAATAAAATCTAACTTTTATTTCATGAACCATAAAGAACTGTGGGTGCAGATAAAATGTTATACACCACGCAGCAGTTAAGTATAATTTACCAGTCTCGGACTCTTTTGCCAGACCTCGTCGCGCTCGGGCGCAAAATCGTCCTGGACTGGTAAATAATACTTACCTCCTTTATGGCGTAAATTACTATTTCGACACATTTACACCATAAAAATAGAATATCTAGGATGAAATCGAATACTAAACTAATAATAATGACTTTAGAACCTGTACCCGACCCAGTTAGAGATGAAATTATTATCAACCTTCGAGATGATGATAATTCGGATGGTGAACATAACATCTTTAGTTCTGACACTAATGACAGTGGAGGCGAAGAAGAAGACATTTAACTAATATTCTAATGATTGTTTTATTTCATAGTAATTATATTTAGTCCAACCGAATTACACTTGGAGAAAAAAAAAATTGTTACCTGGACTTTTATAAGTGGAAGTGGTAAAAGAGCTTATAATAAATCTAAAAAAAATTAATGCGTGAGCAGGGGCGGCGGAGGGTTGATTTGGGGGGTTGAAAAGTTATGAAAAATTGTATCATTGGGATTTTTGGCAAAAGTTGAGGTCAAACAGAAAAGTATCCAATACAAAAGTTGTAGAACATGCAAAAATCTACAACTTTTGTAGAGGCCACTTTTTAACATAACCTCAAAATTTCCGAGAAAAATGCGAAAAACAGGCATTTTTTCTGATTATTCGTTTTTTATTTCTCATTTCCGCAAAAATAATTTAATTTTGACGAAACTTGGTGAAAGTATACCTTTTTCTGTCTTAAATAACCTAACATTTTTTTATATAAAAAAATCAAGAAGTTTCTGAGATATTCATTTTTTTCGGCCTGAAACACTTTTTTTTCAAAAAAAAATTCTACTTAAAAAAATTATCGTACAGAGTTCCTCCGGTAATCATTTTCTTCGTTTTGACATATACCTTTTGGTGAAATAACAAAATATGTAATAACATTTCAAAAACATGCTCAAAAATGCAAAAAAAAATTGGATAGAGCGAAAAAAGTGGCAAAGTAAATATGCAATTTATTTAAAATTCGTTTTCAAATAAAGCCAGAAAAAAAATAAACCGATTTTGCAAAATTTCGGGTTTTCGGATTTCGTGCCAACAGTAGACTTTGCAGTTAATACTTTGTATTGCTGAAATCTCAAAACATCCTGAGATAATTTATCATTTGTGCATTTGTAATTCGACTTAGATGTTTATAGCAATATTGTACAAAAATAAAGTTTGGGGTCAAACAATGAAACACTTTTTTTTTATTTTTTTCCGTAGAATTGAATGGTGTAATCAGATTTTGAATGTTTTTTTAATTTAAATAAATTATCAACAATAACTGTAGAATTTATTGCTGCAAGTCATTTTTTACTTTTTTGCATTTTTGAGCATGTTTTTGAACTGTGATTACAAATTTCTCTATTTCACCAAAAAGTATGTCAAAACGAAAAACATGATAAACGGCAGAACTCTCTACAATGATTTTTTAAGTAGAATTTTTCTTTGAAAAGTGTTTCAGGCCGAAAAAAATGATTGTCTCAGAAACTTCTTGATTTTTTTTATCTAACAATTTTTTAGGTTATTTGAGACAGAGAAAGGTATACTTTCACCAAGTTTCGTCAAAATTAAATTATTTTTGCGGAAATGAGAAAAAAAACAGTTTTTCGCATTTTTCTCGGAAATTTTGAGATTATGTTAAAAAATGACTTCCACAAAAGTTGTAGATTTTGATGATCTACAACTTTTGTATTAGATACTTTTTTGTTTGACGTCAACTTTTGCCAGAAATCCCAATGATACAATTTTTAATAACTTTTCAACCCCCCAAATCAACCTTCCGCCGCCCCTGCTCACACATTTATTTATTTATTTTTTTCGTTTATTATAAGCCTCTTTACAATTTCCACTTATAAAAGTCCAGGTAACAATTTTCTTTTATTTTCCCTCTAAATGAGTTATTTTGATAGATCTAACTTGCCAGACCTATGTAAAAGGTGTCTTTGTTACTCCTACCACGGACTTTTTTCTCGATCTCACGAACAAGATAAATCTGTAAAAGATGTTGGATGATTGCAGATGCACTTCTTTACAGAGCCTCATCCCAAAAGAAACCCAGGAAGTATATTTGACATACTTTTTGAAATAACTAATAAGGTACAGCTTGCACATTCTGATATAAATCTGACTATTCTGAAATACAATTAATTAACTATTCTAAAATTACTGTTGACGTTTTCTGAAATACCTACAAGAGGAGAAAATATCAGCACACAATTCTTACTAATTTCCTAATACCCTCGTCGGTATTGCTTACAAATTAGTGATTCTAATAAAGACTATAGGATAATGTCCATGTAGTCTCCATTTCACTTATCTCGCTAACGTGTTTGTGACAACTCTGCAAGCTGTTAGACGACAACAAGGCATCATACTGATGCGTTGGCGAAAATATTAAATAAACCCTTTATTAAATAAACCCTAATCGCGGAAAAATATATCCACCTCCCCCTCCTACAAACAATTCGTTTCCCTATTTTCGCCTGCCCCGCAAATTAATTTGCTGCCAGCATCGGTTAGCTAATCAATTTTCTAGCCTTGTGGACGGGAATGGTAATTGTGACCGTGGTTGATTCGTTAATTCTTTTAGCCGCGATGTAAGATACCGTGGGCGCCGTATGAACGCATGCTCTCTCAGGAGGGAGGCGTCTCCCCATTATATCCGCGTCCCGACGCCGCGGATGCTCATTCTTCGACAAAATACCACCTGTGACACAAGTTGTTTAGTTTACTTTTCGTTGGTCCGTTACGAGATGAAGTATACTTGGTTGATGCTCGCTTCTTGTTTGGTGCTCGTTTTGGCCGAACTGGTGCCAGCAGCTCAAGCCGGACCCTACGTAGACGATGGTGAGTTTTCCGATTTTTCCATGAAAATTTACTAAAAATATGTTCGTACACACCAAGAACGAGAAAAAATAGCACACTACCACTGCATGACATGAAAACGAAATGACACTTTACTTTGTTAATAAATATGCCGCATTTAATGTCCTTTGAATTTTATTTTCACAAAAAGTCGAGTCCATATGGGCACTGTTCACACGTGTAGAGGTTGATGTCCATTAAAGTGGATAATAGTGTTCGACTCAGTTTTATATATTCATCAATAAAACATAAATACGTAATTAATAAACGTGAGATATCAAATCTATTCATTTCTGGTTTATCTATTTTATTTTTCCAGCAACCCGTTTACCGTAAAAGCTAACTATTATATTTTACAATATTTTAATAAATAATCTTTAGTGAGTAAGGCACGTTTCAACAGATCCATTATACTCTTTCTAAACGTGTCGCAAAAGCTTTTCTACCCTATTTGGTTCTTCTTTAAATGAGCCCTATAAACTTCCAGCCAATGAAAGCTCAATAATTAGGCACCATATGGAAAAATATATATTACCGGAAAATTGAGGATATTATTATAACACGTTACATCTTGGTCAACATCAAATATTTAAAAAAGGTAATTAACAAAAACAGTCCTTATGACCATAGTGAAAATTGATTTTTAAACCCAATGTTTTAAGTTCAGTGACTTTTCCTCTTTATAAGACTATATTAATTTGTAATCGCTGTACATCAGTATGGTACTAGTTACCCTGAAGCTTGTAAAAATTTATTAATTACAGCTTACAAAAAACATTAATAATAATAAT